TGGTTGGCGCAGGATAGAGCAGGGTTTAGAGCTGTTGTGCATAGGGTCGCTATGAGTCGGAAACGACTCGACGGCACATAACAACAACACAACAAAATAAGATTAGGAATTTGTAAAATAGTGCGCAACAATGATAAATCTAGGAGAAATTATGCTCAGTGACATAGTTATAAACGAACAGCGATTTTATAAAACAACTCTTATGAAAAACTAAGCAAAGTTTACACACAGAATTATATTCTTGGAAGATTGAGAGGGATGAGAAGGGAGAGAGAGATGAATAAAATTTAGTAAGTATATAAAATTAGCAAGTAAGTGGTGAGTAAGTATACAGTGAGGGGTTGATTAGACATTGCAATACATTAATCAGTTGTGATTATTAAAAAGCAAAAAGTGTAACATTACATGTGTTTAAATAATTAAATGCAAAACTGCTTTTTAAACTTTCACTAAGTAAAAATAAAGAAACCAATGCTATATCCAGGCTACTTTCCAGTCTGGGAAGATGAGCAAACTGGCAGGATTCTGCAAAGCTGCGTTTTCTGATTTGGTGTTGAGACTTGGATGTGCCTGTTGCTCACAACTGGGTGCGAGCTGATTGGATTTGGCCTCGTATTTAAAAAGGTATTTGGTCCCTCAGGCCTGTGGCCCTTGTTCCTGCTTTTTGTGGAGCTCCTGAATATAGTAGGCATCCAATTCCAAAACAGCTTGTCTCTGAAACTCTATGAACTTAGAGAAAAGATGAAAGTTTCATCTTCAAGACTTTCGTTACAGCAACAACATGCTATATCTGGTATGCTCCAATATCAGTTCTTTGTATTACTTTTTCATAATCCAGCTTGTTATTAGGTTCCCTCAAGCCAACCATGACTCATAGTAGTCCTGTGAACACAGATCAAAACTTTCCTCTATCCTGCATTTTTCCCATGACCTCTGCCATGTTCCATCCCATTAATCCATCTTCTCAAGGGTCTTTCTTTTGCTGATCTTCACCTTTACCAGCATGATGTATTTTTCCAAGGATTGGCCCCTCCTGATAGTGTGTTGAAAGTATGTGAGACAGAATTTCACCATCTTTGATGCCTCCAAGACAGATTATTTTTTTGGTCTACTTTTGGCAGTCTGAGTATTGTATTCAATACTCTCTGCCCACTCCACAGTTCAAAGGTATCTATCTTTATTCACTGTCCAGCAAAATAGTTGAAGATGCCATGACTTTTCCCATACAAGACAATGGGGAGAGTGCCAAAAAATTAGAAAGACAACTACCTAGCCAACTGACTGGAAATGATTTATAGTTATTTTCAGTCAAAAATAGGTGATCCAGCAGAATGCAGAATTATCAAATCTTGTATCTAATATCGCATGCAAGGAAATTCTTGTTTACAATTATCCAAAAATGGCTGAGAGTACAGATATGGAACCCCCAGAAATTCAAGATAGCCATGCCAAGGAAGAAATCATTGCTGGTGTAAGATTTTATCTGAAAGTAGAGAATACCAGAAAGATGTTTGCTTGTGTTTTGTTAACTATGCAAAGGTGTTCACAATTTTATGGATCCTAATAAATTACAGATACTATTGAAAAGAAGGGAAAGCCCAGACCATTACTGTGCTTCTTGGAAACCTATTCATAGACCAAAAAAGAATTGTCTGGACAGAACATGTGTTTTTAAAAAACAAATGCATGAGATAATTGAAAATATTATGGCTTGGGTCAAGCACACCTCATTCCTTAGAGTGCTGTCTTTGGTTTGTAAGACTTTCAAGAGGTCTTTTTTTTAAATTTTATTAATTTTAATGAACATTTACAGAGATTTGGGGTTTTCATTCATTCATTGTTGCACTATTTTCTCTACCCTCCTCCCCAGTTCATTCTTCTCCCCCCACCTTGAAAGTCTGTTTTAATTGTCCAATTGTTAATATTTCTAGCCTTAAGCTTAAAAGATTATAATGGTCAAAATTATTTGTTATACATTTGTTTAAATTTTTCCCTCTTTTAACAACTGGAATCTAGAGGGAAGACAAAAGACCAGAGAATGGCCAAAATTATTGGGGTAGCTATTGCTGCCAGTTTAGGGCCTGTGTCAGGAAAAGGAAGTGTTACTCAAGAGGTCTTTTGAATCAACTTTTTTCCCCAGTGCAATATGCCATTTGATTTCTTGACTCTGCTTCCATGGATAGTGATCATGGTTCTAAGTAAAATTAATTCCTTAACAAGTTCAAGCTTTTCTCTGTCCATTAATTGTTATCCTCTCTATTTCTGATTATGTAATCCAAGACACTTAGTATAAAGAAAAAAATATAAATTTATTGCTTGAAGGAGTATATGAAATTGTGCAGCTGATTTTTGTTAAGTCATTATGTTGCTAGTAAGTTTCTGACTAAATACGTTTGAGGAATTATTTAAGTTTTGAAATTGTCTTTATAGGTTGATAGTAGTACTGAGTCAGCAGAAGCTGCCTGTGATATACTTTCTCAGCTGATAAATTGTTCTATCCGGACACTAGGACTGATTTCAACAGCTAAACCAAGTTTTATGAATATGTCAAAGGTAAGTATTTTGTGCTACTTTGTGAAGTAGACTGACTTATTAAATATTACCACACTAGGTAAAGGGATTCTCTTCCTTGACAGACCATATGCTATTTATATTAAAAATATTTTTAAATTTATTTATTTTTTATTATTAATTTTTTTTAAAGTTTTATCAATTTTAATGAACATTTACAGAGATTTTAGATTTCCATTCATTCATTGTTGCACTTTTCTCCCTGCCCAGCTCTCCCCACCAGTTCACATCTCTCTTAGAAAAGTAAAAGAAAAATTCTTTCTTTGGTATACAATCCCGCCACACTCCTCCCACCACCCCAAATATACTCCACTATGCAACCTTAATTCTGGACTCTTGTGATAACCATAATACACTATTGCTTTTAAATTATTATTTTTAAAGCAGAAAAATATTTTTTCCAGTTTTTCTGCCATTGTCTTTAATTTCTCCCCTTTTAAATCTCTCTCAGAAAACTGTGAGGAACATTTTTAATACCAGATACAAAAGAAACATATTTTTTAAACAAAGTTTACTGGCACTTATGCCATAATGGTTACCTATGGTGGACAGTGTTCGGTGGAGCTCCCAGACTAAGACAGGCTTGGAAGCAAGAGTGGTATCTACGTTCTAAACAGCATGCCTTTGGAAACTCTATGAACATAAGAAAAACAACAACAGTTACAAAACAGGGTTCGAATCTTTTGTTCATAGGGTCACAATGAGTTGTACTAGATAGCAACAACAATAACTTGTTAAATTTTTTTTCCTTATATATATCATATACTTTTAAAAGTTAGTGTTTTTACAGTATCTAAATGCTAAGACACAATTTAGATGTACCGTTAAAATTTTCAGGTACCAATTTTCCTCTTAATTTTGAATATCAAGAAAGTAGGGGCAGCAGTGGGTACTTTTTCTTATCATTTTATAGCCTCACTTTTGGAGCTGAGTGACATAATATTTAATTAAATGAGTTACACAAATAAAGACTATTGTACTAGAGTAGAAATTCCAAGATAACAGTAACTCAAAAAAACATAATTAATTAAAGTTTCTCTCTCTTACGCTGAAGAACTCCCAGGAGCTCTGCGGACATAGTACCCAGGCAATAGCGCTGCAGTTCGCTGGCAGTTCTAATCCTGCAGCAGCTCCATGAGAGAAGATAGACAGTCTTCTTCCTTGCATTCACAGCTTCCAAACACCCACTGGAAGATCAGCTATCGTCAGTTCCAATTCAACAACAATGAGTTTTTTGAGTCAAAGAAGTCTGCACATGATAAGGTCTTGGCATGGAAGTTGTCAGGAACCCAGGCTCCTTCCAGCGACTGTGCTGTTTCCAAGATGTTTTCATTTCATTGTCCAACGTGACCTTGAGCTCCAGCCATCATGTTCTGGAGAGCTGAATAGAGAAAATGAGGAAGAAGGTTGTGCCTTTTCCTTTTTCGGGAGACCACCAGCTGCTCCGCGGGAGAAAGACGGTCATTCTCCTCCTGCACGATTGACTGGCTCTGAAAACCACTGGTGGGTCAGCTGTGGGTCAGTTCTGACTCGAAGGTACACAACAACAACAACTCACAAGGACCCCTTAATGTTTCTCATTGACCAAGGCTCAATTCCATGGCCACCCCAGATTTCAAGAAAGCTGGGAAAGCCTTTTATTGGATCAAGAAATGCCAAGCTATGCAGACATGATGAACAATTGTCAAGAAGTGGTTATCACTCTCAGCCACAGGAACTAGGAAATGTTTTCTCTTGGTTCTGACTCAACTTGAATGGCACATCAAAAAAAGGAAAAAAAAAGACCTTCCTTGACCACTTTTGCTAAAACAGCACCCTCTACCCCAAGTTATACTCTATTTTTATATTTTTTGCCCTCTTTAAATTATAAATTAATATTGAAATGACCAATTTATTTATATATTTAGCATGTTTACTGCTTTTTGTTCCTAGACCAACACATAAGTTCCTAGAAGGTAATAATAATAGTGTCCATTTTGTGTATCATTGTAAATTCAGACTCTGAACCAATTGATAACGACCCTGTGTAGATAGAATGAAACACTAGTAAGTCATGTGCTGTCTTCACAATTGTTGCTGTGCTTAAACTCACTATAGTCACTGTGTGGATCCATCTCATTGAGTCATCTTTTTTACTAACCCTCTCCTGTGTCACCAAGGGTGATGTCTTTCTCTAGTATTTCTTAGTTCTTCCTGATAACAAAGCCACACGAGATGAAGTCTCACTATCCTTCCTGCCTTTTCTATGTTCTCAGGCACATTCCAACTGTACTTGTTCTGAGATTTATACAAGGCATATAATAAGCACTAATTATGGTTGTTAGGGAGCTCTGGTGACATAATCCTTGCTGGGTTGCCCTGCTAGCCCAAAGGCCTCTGTGTCTCTAGTAGTTTGAATTCACCAAAGGCTCCCAGGGAGATAAGCAGTTCTCCTCCTGTTAGGATTTATGGCCTTAGAAACCCGATGATAGCTCACTAGGAATTAGAAACAACCACAGTAAATTTGAGTTACATATGTTAGTAAAATTAGCTAATAGAACTTGACTGTGGAAGAAAATCAAGCAACAGTAGTATCTTCGTTCTCTTATTCAAGGTCATGGCGCTCTCTCAGAGAGCATTTCTGCCAGGTTGTTTATATTTTTAAGAGCTATGCTAAAAAAGTGGGTCACTTGAGGATTAGAGTAATATAAGTAATCAGATGAATGTTTGCTACTTCTAAATAGTTATTTCCTTGTTTATCATCTATGAAATAAGATTAGCCTGAAATTCTTAATAGATTTTAAAAGCAATCGCCAACGCAGCATATGAACTTCCAGTGCCAGCTTCTAAGATGGCCAGTGCAGTAACCAGAGCAAGACACCAGGAATTTGCAGGCTTCATTTTAAGTTCTGCCTCTACAGTAAAATGAGCCCTGTGGATCTTGTCATTTTGATTTTGGCTGTGGTTTTTTTTGTTGTTGTTTTTGGTTGGTTTTTGTGTTTTTTATTTTTCCTTTTTAGCTGTGAACTAAATGCACAAGCACTTTGGCAAGTATAAGATGTTGAAAATATGTTTCTCTCACCATGCCAACTCAAAGGCATGTGGTTCGGATCAGCCTCCTGCTTCACAGAAGAAAGATGGTCTGACTCCTCCTGTGTGATTTACAGCCTCCGAAAACCTGCTGGAAGGTCGGCTAGGAGTCAATTCCAACTTGACATAACAACAACAATGAAATAAGTACTCTGATGCCGAACTGTCTCCCTTAGGACCAGTAGCCAATTGGAAATAAATTGCTTCAAAGGAAAATAAACTTTGTATTTACTAAGGAGAAGAACTGTACATTTATCTTTTCTTAAATAAGTGGCTTTAAGTGGTAAGAAATTGCACCACCAACTCAAGGGCATGTGGTTCAAATCCACCAGCTGCTCCTTTGGAAAAAGATGGGAATTCTCATCCTATGCAATTTAATACCTCTGAAAACCCACAGTGGAAGCTCAGCGATGAGTCGATTCTGACACCACGACACATGAAAAAATAATAATAAACTATATCTAGCCTTCCAAGATTTAAAATCTTCCCCCCACTATTAATATAAATCAGTGTTTGTTTAGTAAGTAATCAGCATTTAAAGTCATTCTAAAAGGGACAGTTGGGCCTGTGGTAGAATCCAGATTGATTTAGAAAAAGGAAAAATGATCATAATTGGATTTGTTTTCCAGGCTTTTCCATGTTTGCAAAAAAAATTCTGAACCCTAAGTCCTATAAAATTCACTATTTTGGAGCCAGACAATAAATAAGCTTTAATTTGTTAATCTTCTAAGCATGTAATTCCACATTCCTCTATGAAAATGAATACGGCATCAGAATCAGAGGGAACCTCATCAATAACCTGTGTTATGCAGATGATGCAACTTTGCTGACTGGACAGAGGAGGATTTGAAGCACTTGTTGCAGAGGATCAAAGAACATGGATCTTCAATATGAATTGAATCTCAATGTCAAGAAGACAAAGATTCTTAACCACTGAATCAATGGGCAACATCATTCTAGGTGGAGAAAAGATTAAAACTCAATAATTTCATCTTACTTGGATCCACAGTTAACAAACACCCTTGGTACCAGTAGTCAGGAAATCAGGAGAGGCATTGCAGTGAAAAAGTCTGCAGTTAGAGGCCTCTCCAAATTATTGGGGAGTAATGATGTCATTTAGAGAACGAAGGTGTGTCTCATTCAGGCCATGGTCTTTCTGATCACTCACTTTGCATCTGAGAGCTGGACAATGAATAGAGATGACAGAAGAAAAATTGATGCCTTTGAGCTGTGGTGTTGGAGAAAAGTGTTGGACATCCCATGGACTAGGGGAAAACGAACAGTTAAGTCTTGGAGAAAGTGCAGTCAGAGTACTCTTTGGAGGCAAGGATGATGAGGCTTCTCCTCACATACTTTGGGCATGTTGCTAGGAGGGATTGTTCCTTGGAGAGAGACATGATGATTGGAAGGGTGGAAGGTCAGCGAAGAAGAGGAAGATCCTTGACCAGGTGGATTGATACTGAATGCCATAGTGGGCTCTAGTATGTCATGAAGTATGAGATTGGCACAGGATTGGACGGGGTTCAGATCCGTTGTTCATAGAGTCACTTTCAGTCGTACTCAACTCCACAGATTCTAACAACAGCAAAGCATATTGTTGTTGTTGTTATGTGCCGCATATAAAGATTTTAATTTGCTTTCTGCAGATAATTTATTATAAAAGCATGTAGTAAATTCAATTCCACTGAAGACTCTGAAATCAGTTATGTAGTTATTTACCCAACAAATATTTATTGACCATCTGTTATGTGCCACATACTATTTTAGGCACTGGAAATACAAGAATTAATGAAACAGATTCAAATTCTATGTCTTAAAGAGCAAGGATCAATAGGGCAATATGATGATTATTTCAGGCATTGTGAGCCAATTCTGTCATACAGTAAAAGCAGACATACACCAAACCCAACCCGTTGTCACCGTATATGATGTACTATTAGGAGTCTGCTGAAAATTGAAAAGTTGACCAGGGATTTGAACGCACTAGCTAACGGCGAAAGTGGTCTCTTCCTGTAAAGGTTTATAGCTTCAGAAACCCAAGAAAGGTCACTTTGAGTCCGACTCAACTCCAGTGCATTACTGGTAGTGGTGGCAGCTCTATAGTACAATGTAGAACTGCCCTGTAGCATTTGAAGACTAAATCTTTGCAGCAGCGAGCTACTGTGTCTTTCTTCAGTGGCTTGTCTGGCACGTTTGGATTGCTGACCTTTGGGGTAGCAGCAAAGTGTCAACCCCACTCCACCATGGCTCAAAGACAGACAGAGGCAAAGATTACAGGGGTGTGTGTGGCTATGTTCAAATCAGACTTATATTAGGACACTGAAATTTAAATTGCATTTAATTTTCACATATTACAAATTGATACTTTTTTTTCCAACTATTTCAAAATATTAAAAAAAAAAAACATTTGGGCAGGCTGGCCTTGACCCAGGGACCAAAATTTTTTCACCCTCCGTCTAGGAGCTAAACATAATTTTATCCTTTTAACATGGAAACGAAATCCTCGAGAATGAAAGTCATTGGAACACATGTTTTATGAACTCTTTTGTGAAACATCTTCCTTTCTCAGCATTCTGCTTGCCAATTACTAAATCTAAAAACTATACTTTGTTATAAAATTGTTTTCAGTTGGTTAATAGTACTGTGAAAAGCGTTAGTGAATTGAACTTTTCCTGTTATTTTTAAGTTTTTTTTAATAAGTTTTTAGTTAATTACTCGGTTAAAGATGTAGATTTTTAAGTAATGTTTTCCTCATTCTTTGTTTTGCAAGTCTCATTTTGTGTCAGCACTTACTGTGGTTTTTGTCAACTCAAAGTCATTATCATCAATCAAAATAGAAGACACGCCGGTAGATGATCCTTCCCTAAAGATTCTTGTGGCGAACAACAGTGACACTCTGAGACTCCTAAAAATGAGCAGCTGTCCTCACGTTTCATCTGATGGTAGGTTAGAGTTTTTAAAGGTTGAGGGATTTTTTTATTATTATTATCGTAATAGTAACAACACAATTCTTAAATTAAACTGACATCCTTTTGAAACAATCCATTAAATAATTATTTCACTAGCCTAAATCTGCACATTAAATAATAGTTTAAATTGCTCTGCAGTTTCTGAGGATGGTGAAGAAGTGCTTGGCATGAAGCTTCCCCTGTTGGGCTTCTGTCTGTACCTCAGTGGGAAGCCCATCCCTACAGGACATCAGTGAAAGTCTGAATAAGGAGCTGTGCATTCCACTTCAGCCGTGGCATATCAGTTGTACAGAAATACCACCTTTGGAGACAGTCATACAGTCTCCGCAGTTCACCCACCCCCACCCAACTTGCCCTTCAATTTCTCCTTCAGTTGGGAAAGGAAATTCAACATTGGCTTAGAGAGTCAGGACGACAGAACCTGTTACAGGAACTCTCGAAATCTATGCAGATTCTGCAATTGTATGTGGACTTATCTTTTGAATGGTATTGAATTCAGAACAGAGCTTATTAATGTGGATAAAGTGAAAAGAGTAGCTTGAGATGGTAAAAATACTGACTCCAGTACTGTAGAATGTATAGGGGAACAAATGGCTTTGTGATGCCATCTTCTGTTACCCTCCATTGGTGTTTTTAATAGAAGCATAGAAAAACACTTAAAACTTACTCTAACAATGCTGAAATTGTTCCATTGTGCTATACTAGAAAAGAATTACAGTAGGAAAAAGTTCATAGCCTTTTACATTATGTTTTTCATACAGCATGAAGAAATCCAACATTTATAATGACAAATCAGAAGTTACCTTCCTCCAAACATTCTTTAATGAATTGATTTTTAAATATTTTAAAGATTGTTGCTGCTCATGAAAATGTATTAATTATATGTGTACCGTAATGAGTAACTCCTCAGACATTGTTAATTATCTGAGCAAATTGAGCAACTAGTAGAAAATTCAAATTTATGAAATGGTATAATGTCAGTATGATGCTTTTTCTATTTTAATAAAATTTTTATTTTAATTGTGATTTTTGACAGAAGTTTACAGAAAAGTTAGATTTTTGTTTTTTCATTGTTGCACATTTTACCCCCTCTCCCTCCCTTCTCCTTCCCCCAGTTCACTTTTTTTTTTTTTTTTAACCTCAGTATCTCTTCTCTTTATTTTGGCTTTTTTTAAAAAAACTAATTTCAATGAAAATTTACAGAGATTTTGGATTTCCATTCATTCATTGTTGCACTTTTCTCTCCACTCACCCCACCCCCACCCCCAGTTCGCTCTTCTCCTTGAAAAGCAAGAGAAAAAACTCCTTCAGTGGTATACAGTCCACTCCCACATCCCCACACCCCCATGCCAAGTATACTCCACTCTGCAACCCTCACTCCGAATTCTCATGATAATCATAATGCCCTCTAGAGCTATTTCCAGAGTCTCTTCTCACATCTGTTTTGGTTCTTCCATTCTCCTGTGTCTTTGTAATCTTTTGCTCTCTTCATGGATAAGAGCATCTCCCAACTCATCTGGTCTTCAATCATTAGTGTTTAGTGCCTCAGGCCTTTTTTTTTTCTTTCCCCAACGGACAAGTATACTTGCCAACGACTTCTTTAAAGGGCTAAAGAGTGAGGATGCCCCTTTAAAAGTGTGGCTGGCCCAAGCTATGGCATTTTTTTAAATTGAGATTTTAATAAAAGTTTATAAAGAACTTGAATTTCCATTCATTCATTGTTGCGCATTTTTCTCTCTGACCCTCCAGCACATTTGCTTTTTTCTTCGGGAAAAAAGTTCTTTCACTGTTATACAATCCCCACCTTGACCACTTTTACTATGCAGCTCTTATTCTGGACTTACTGACACGATGCTTTATTTTTTAAAAGTTTTCCTCATTTCTTTCAGGAATCCTGTGTGTAGCTGACCACTGTCAAGACCTTAGAGAGCTGGCGTTGAATTATTACATCCTAAGTGATGAGCTGCTCCTGGCGCTTTCAAGTGAGACTCATGTTAACCTTGAACACCTTCGAATTGATGTTGTGAGTGAGAATCCTGGACAGATGCCGTTTCATTCTATTAAAAAACAAAGTTGGGATGCGCTTATTAAACACTCCCCTGGAGTTAATGTTGTGATGTATTTCTTTTTATATGAAGAAGAGTTTGAGACATTCTTCAAAGAAGAAACCCCTGTTACTCACCTTTATTTTGGTTGTTGTGTAAACAAAGAAGTTCTAGGAAGGATAGGTCTCAACTGTCCACGACTGATTGAGTTAGTGGTCTGTGCTAATGGTCATCAGCCTCTTGATGATGAACTTATTTGTATTGCTAAACATTGTAAAAACTTAACAGCCTTGGGCCTCAGTGAATGTGAAGTTAGCTGCAGTGCGCTAGTTGAATTTGTAAGACTCTGTGGGAGAAGGCTTACCCAGCTCTCTATAATGGAAGAGGTTTTGCTCCCTGATGGTGATTATAACCTAGATGAAATTCACACTGAAGTCTCCAAATACCTGGGAAGACTATGGTTTCCTGACGTGATGCCTCTCTGGTAATTTGGTCACAAAGATTCGTAGCTTTTTAAAAAAAAAAATCATTGAAATTAGCATCTTTCTTTCTATGCGAGTTATCAGTGTTAAGATACCAGTTGAATTATTTTAGATAAATATTTTACTATTTGCAAAGTTGCTTAATGCATTGCTGCAAAAACATCAGAAAAAAATATGAGAGATTCGAAAGGGCATAAATCTCAGTGTAAATAGACCACAGACATGGATGATGGATGACTTCTCTAGGTAAGCCTTTGGCCCTCTTTGAAGGTTTTTTTTATCTTGCTAAATAAATTTATAATATTGAACTTTGGATACCTTAAGTTATGTCATTTATTTTAAAACTTTACATTATTTTGATTCTATTTCATTTTGGTATTAACATATTTAATTAAATATATAGTAGTAAAAACTAAGTAAAATAAAAATAGTTACAAAGGCTAACTTCATTAGACTTAGAGTTTTAAGCAGTAAAGATCATCTTGTACTTCAATAACTAAGTTTACATTTCCAATATACTTTGATTTATACTGTATTATATTAATAGTAGAAAATAGGAGGTAAGTGACACTTAAATAGTACTAACTGGATTTTAGAAAAATATGCAATGAGATTTTTCATTTAATGTGTTACCTTTTTTAGAACATGAATTCAATTTTGCAGGGAATTGGAATTTACTGACATTCCATGATCTATCTGGAACTATGGGCGATCCTTTGCACAAGTGTTCTTGTCATTGATAACATTGGTACAGCTCTTTCACGTCAGCCCAGCTCACTGATGTAGAGTCAATTCCCACTGATGACAACCTTCTGTTGAGCTTCCAGGGTTATGAATCTTAATGTAAACAACTGGAAGCAGGAGCTTTTCAGGTAGCTGGACTGTGTCACCAGAGTACCTACAAAGCTCTTTAGTGATTACTTGTTGCCTTGAGGAGGTATCTCTGGAGGTGTCATCTGGAGGGAATTTTTTGCTGCAACCCAAAGGGGACGCGCCTCTGGTGGTTCGAATCCATCCATGTTTCTGAGGGAGAAAGATGGCCAGTCTCCTCTCATGTGATTTCCAGACTCTGAAAACCCACTGGAGGGTCAGCTCTGAATCAGTTTCTGACTTGATGGCAGTGAGTTAATGTCTTTAGGAAAGTTATCGGATTCATTACCTAAGAGGCCCTACAAGATCTGGTTTCTTTGTTCTTCCTTCTTCCTTCTCATTTTGCATCATCTCCCCCTGTCTCTGTGCTCCCACACTCTTCCAGACCTTTCAACAGTGTGTGTTTACCAGTCACAGGGCATTTGTTGCACATTCTTCTCTCTTGTTAGCATATTCTGTTTTTCTCTCTGAACCTTTCCCAAGATGTCATTTCACCAGAGGAGCCTTTTGTGGCTCCAGCCCATCATCTTCTCTTTCGTAGGCCAGATCCTCACGGCGGACGTCGTCAGCCACTTTGTGATTTCCCTTTGCGGTGCTTGTCATCATTATAATTTACCATTACGTATAAAATTACTGCCTCGTTGATCTATTGTAGTATAAACACCATCCCTCAAGGTTGTGTTGATTTGGGTTTTTTCATACTGTGATGGTCCCAACATGTGGTATCATATTGAATATATAGTAGACAATAGGTTTTCCCTAAATTCTGTCTTTCTCACGCTGGTGTCCCTGGGTTCTCTCCCTAATGTCTTCAGTTTCTCTCTTAGAAAACAAGTCAACTAAATATCTTGGAAATACAAGTATGTTATTTCTTTTCTAATTTTGAGCAAGTTTTTTAATACCAAAAATAAAGTACGTATTCTTAGTTACTAAGAAATTAGAATACATTGTGATCTGTAAGTGAAATTTTTTTAATGTCCTTTATTTTAAAATTGTGCCTATGTATACAGTCTCAGCACTGCACCACATTCTGCCTCAGCATGAGCTCTGTAAGAGAAGGGACTTCATCTCATTCACTTTTAAGTGTGTACATACCTTTTAGGACAGTGTATGGTACTCAGTTAACGCTGTTATATTGTTAGCTGTCGTCAAGTAGTTCTGACTCAGGATGACTTTATGTACAACTGAATGACATGTTCCCTGGGCCAGATCACAATTGTTGATATGTTCATGTTCTTCCTGTGTCTGGTGTTCCAGTCCTTCACAACAAAGATCTCCACTCCCCCCCAACCCTCTGTTTTACCAAACACAATATCATTCTCTAGAGATTAACCCTTCTGATGATATGTCCAATGCAGCAGGTTAGACAGTGTTTTGTTTTGACCCACTGTTGTTGTTTGTTGTTTGGTGCCATCAAGTTGAGTGTGACCCATAGCGACCCTGTAAACAACAAATCTGAACCCTTTGCCCACCTCTCCATCTTTGACACTTGAGCCATTGCAGCAGTCACCATGTCAGCCCATCTCATTGAGGGTCTTCCTCTTTTTCTTTTTTGTGGCCCATAAGATTGGATAATTTTCAGAAGTCGATAACCAGGCCTTTTTTCTTACAATCAATAATAATTAAGCTGATATTACTGCTTAAACATAACTTAAGAACAGAGTTAGTATTATTGTAGACTATAGAATTTATACCTTGTGTAAATTTTTACTTTGTAAACCTTCCTTCAGGAAGGTACAGGATATATAATATAATATAATTAATATAATATAATAAATATAATATAATTAATATAATATAATTAATATAATATAATATAATATAAATACTATACTATAATATACTATACTATAATATAATATAAATACTATAATATCTAATATATGTATTACTTAAAACTTAAAATAGGATAAACATAAGAGAAAACATGAAAGGGGGAAAGACAGACTGGTTGTAGATCAAAGTCATTTGGCAGATCTGAAAAGATAGACTCCAGTCTCACCTGATCAAGGTGGAGTTTCTCCCTGTAGTTTATTACCTTCCAGACATACTGACTGCCAGTGGTTACTTTCATCTTCAGAGAGAAATTGCTTCATCTCGATGGTGCTATCTTTAAAATAGCTCAGTAATAAAACCTGTTGTACTGGACAATATAATAAATCTTAGAGCAAAACTCAGATGAAAGTTCATGAACTCCATTAAATTACCCAGCTTGGTCTGACTGACTGGGCTGATAAACTGAAAAAGAAAACCATTTCAGAGCAGCCAAAACCCAGACAAGACAGTACGATGTTTCTAATGTTCACCTAATGAAAATAATCTTCATTTTCTTTGGAAGTGTGTGAAAGGTACTGTCAACCTAAGAGTAGAGAATCTAGAGAAAAGACTTGAATTTTGATGTTAGTTTTAGGTTTTCATTTTTAGGCTTGGTGGGAGATAAAATAATAATTATCTAAGTTTACCTTTCTCTGTTAAACACGTTTTGGTTTGGTTTGGTTTTTATTTTTTTATAAACCTTCCTAAAAGAGTTAATATGATTCTGTGGGCAAATTGAAAGGAGAGAATGGAGGAGAAATCTCCTTTCCTGAGTCATGTGGAGGGAATATAAGAATACTGTTCTCCAGTTTCTGCTAGTGTTTGCTTAGGAGCCTTCCTGGTCTCATTTTTTATTATTCTGAATACTGGGGGGGATGCGGCAGGAGGTGAGTCAATTTTTACGTATATGTATGTGTGATTGTGAGGAGGGCAGAGGATTGAGCAATTTCGATCTATTCAGATTCCTTTTGAATCAGAGGCAACTTGACAATGACTAGCAAAAACAGCACCATATACAACACAACACCACCACCATACACACACACACACACAGAAGTTCATATGTTAATGCTTACATAGGTGTTTCACAAGAATGAATAAATACTCTTCTTTAAGCTTGACCTCTTAAATCAGCAACCTGTCTTGTCTTTCCATTAGATTAATTTCCTGGAGATTTCTCAGAAACTATAGCTGTTAAGTCGACTAAAATATTTGACACCACGGTGTTTGAAGTGTAGCTTCTTGCTGCTAAGCCACCAGAGGTCCCCATATTCTAATCACTTCTACTAAGAAAAAATAAGTTACTCAAAACTCTTACTACTTGAGAGAAGATCTTCACCCTAAAACCCACAGCGTCCCTTTTCAGCAGGAAGTAGCTAAGAGAATG